GGTATATTAGGGAAAAGGGGAGGGGGGGGGAAGGGGAAGGACAATGGACGAGGTCCAGGTCAGCTTGCATCTGTACACTGGGACGTGAAAGCTCTCTCCCTATTAGCTTGGCGTGAAACATTGACTTGAAATTTTTCTATCTAAAAAATAAAGGGGTAGAGTAGGAAGAGGCTGATGAGAGGCTCGCTCTTCACATGGGATAGCCCATTAAAGAGGAGGACTGGTTCTTCACAAATGATCTCTAGATGGGTGCAAAATGATCAGGGAACTACCAGTAGGTGTTCCAGGGGTGTTTTTTTTCTAGTGAGGTGCTAGAATTTTAGGGGTTTCTGGGTGTTGATTAAGTCAGATTTATTCCAGGGTACCGGGGACCAGGTCCCTCCCTTCTGCCAGATTCTTTGATTCTGGCCAGAGATTATGGGATCAATGGCCAGGAACAGAGAATCTGGGCGGAAGCAAGTTTCCCACTACCGTCTTCACCCGAATACAACGCCCGGTCATTATGGCTGTATCTAGACTCAAAGTTGCCCCAAATACAGCTATAATGATCTTTGCGAATCTAGCGTCGGAAACCAAAATTGAAACACGTAAGGGGGGGGGACATCTGACCCCTGATCTTTGCAGATCTACGGTTGGAAACGAAGATTAAAACACGTAAGTGGGACCTTGTCCCAGTAATAGATAGAGTTGGCGACTGCTGCAAAAGGGCAGTGCTATGTTAAAAAAAAAAAATTAACAATAATAATAAAAAATGAGAGAGAGAGAGAGAGAGAGAGAGAGAGAGACAGAGAGAGAGAAAAGGAGAGAGGTATGAAGAGATCAGGCTTCGCGGTTGAGGTTGGCAGCTGGTGCACTCAATCACGACGACCACTGGCTTTTTTTTTCCTCTTCTTCTTTCAGTTAGAAAACAATAAAAAAACCTCAGTCTGATTGAATTCATGATTCACTCACTGAGCGGCTGCTGCATTCACCCACCATCGACCACTGCTTCCCCCCCCCCCCCCCCCCCCCCCTTTTTTTTAAATTAAACGGCAGATGATGCGTCCGTGAAACTCTGACGATGAAACAGTTTGCCACAGCCCCTCGTTTGTTGTTCTCTTCTCCCTTCCTCTCTGCCTACTACGGTTTACCGTACGCACTTCTGTGTGACTATATATACATATGACGATATATATATCGTCCTTTGTTTGGCTATTCAGTGTTAGATATTCACAAGTCACCTGTAGACCAGGATGCAGCCCCCCCTTCCCCCCCTTCCCCTCCTTCCCCTCACGGCGCACTCCCAATTTCAGGGACACTCCTTGCTCAGGATGCAGCTCCAAACGTCGAGGGATTGGAACATGATTTGCCCGGATAAGAGTTACCCCCACAAAGTGGGGACCACATGGGGGGTCTGCAAATGGGTGACCAGCAGTTGTGCCCCGCCACGCGGAGACCACATGGGTGATCTGCAAACGACTGGTCATCAAACAACCCAAGACATTTTGGGCTTGCAATACCATCTGGGTGATCTGCAAATTGTTGGCCAGCATCCGGCACACCAGCCTGAGATCCTTTCCTTACCAATCTCTGTGGTCTGACTGTAACTAATATATCTATCTTCACATTCTTCGCCGTCCGTTTTATACGCTGTCAGACTTCCTTGCAGTTTCCCTTCAGCTTGATGCGGATCTTTCCCGCCTACGGCCAGAGGATTGTAATTGTACCAGGGAAAGAGGGTTTACCATTGCTGTCGAGCATTGCAATGAGGGACTTCCTTTCTCCTGCTCGAGCATTGCGTACCTCACGTTGGCGGTCTAGGGGGGTCTAGAGGCTTTCCCATTGCTGTCCTTATGAGCATTGCGCAGCAATGAGGGACTTCCTTTCACCTGCTTGAGCATTGCGTACCTCACGTTGGCGGTTTAGAGGGGTCTAGAGGGGTCTAGAGGCTTTACCATTGCTGTCCTTATGAGCATTGCATAGCAATGAGGGACCGCCAACTTGAACTACGCAATGCTCGAGCAGGTGAGTGGATTAATCCCCCCATCCACACACCAAGGGGGTCTAGGGTCTAGAATCTACATCCATGGTTTTTATTTCGGCATCGCTATTGTAAACCTTACAGGTAACAGGCGTCAGCCGTGTTGCGGCATTTGGCGGCTCGTCTACAGACCGTGAAGCTCTGAACATATGATTTTCAATCACTATGGTTTAGGGCCTTTAGGCCATATGTATACACGCGTGTGGAGTTTCTGCAGCGAATCTGGCCACATCTGCAGTCAGATGCATCCAGAAAAGTTCTAGTCTGAGTATTTATTGCCCTTACGGGCTTCCTGCGTTGCAGTAATCATCTGGAGACTCCATGTCAAAAGCCCAGTAATGTGTCTCTGACCGAAGAACTTGGAGAAGGAAATCACAGGAGCAAGTCCTTGAAGAGAAGGCAGTAAAATGAGCAAAATCATTCCTCTGCTCCTTCTCGCTCTCATTCCCGCTTCGCCTTCTGCTTCCCTTTCCCCTTCCCCCTTCCCCCCCCCCCCCCCCCCCCNTTCCTTCCCTCTCTCTCTCTCTCTCTCTCTCTCTCTCTCTCTCTCTCTCTCTCTCTCTCTCTCTCTCTCTCTGTCTCCTTCTGTCACGTGGCGTAGGTATACTGTTTCTGCCTCTGGGGTGTGTTCGCAATTTTGCCTGCGCTGCTGACGTGGCTCCCTTGTTTTGGCGTCATACGGATTGAATGAGCTACACGTGCGCGTGCGCGCGCACACACTATAGTCTTCCCCCGCGAGCAATTAGTGGCGGTCCGGGTTTGAAAATGCACCACGATCTTGAGAAGCATGAACCTGGCCGTATCATTAGCGCTGTCTGTACTGAAAGTTACTTCAGATACGGTTATAATGACCGTGCGTTCTATTCGGGGGAAGATTTGCAAGCCGAGAGCGCATTCCTCTCTTTGCAGCCAAGTGGCACATCGATGTTTTTTTGTTTTTTTTTTTTGTGGGGGGGGGTCAGATTGACGATCATGTATGGCTAGCGAGGAAAATGCAGACTTTCGGCGGATGAGGGGCTGCCACGTGTAAGTCCATCATTCAGCGAATGCCAGGTTGACACGTGAGCCGATTTTACAGCGGTGGGTGGAGCTGCCACGTCAGCAGGAGGGAAGGAACAATCGAGTGCAAAAGGGAATGGATGGCTTTGTTTTTTTTAATAAATAAATTTATTTTCGGGGGCCAGGTCGCACGAGCGAAGAGGACTGGATTGTAATCTGAACCTATGGTTGTGTTCCACGTTGTCTGTACTCGATTATATTTCTTGGAGGAATGTTTTATTAGTTTTTATCATAGCAATAATAATATAATAATGTAATAATGTAATATATAATAATATAATATATAATAATATAATATATAATAATAAATAATATAATAATAATATGAGTAGATAAGTAGATTTTGGGTACAACCGTCTTCTCCCGAATAAAACGCGGGGTCAGTTCACCTGCAATTCAGAGCAGGTTTCGTTGCGCATCGAGTATGTTATGGTTTTAAAAAAACAAAAAAAACTAGTGGCCCCTCTTTCTTTTTTTTTTTTTTTTTTTTTTTTTACGTTTTTACGTTTAAGAGTGACCTTTCTTTCTATTTGGGAGGATGAAAAGCAGTCTGCCGTTTCTTGTGATTCTTGGAACGTGGCAGTAAAAAAAAATTACAAGTACTCGCCAGGGGTAATTTGCATAATTTGTGAATAGTCAAAAGGGTATTTTGCGTAATTCCATCCCATCTCCCAATTTGTCCCTTCCCCTCCTTTCCCCCTCTTTCCCCCCTTCTTTTCCCCCTCTTTACCCCCCTCTTTCCCCTCCATTCCCTCTCCATTCCCTTCCCCCTCCCGCCCTCAACAGGTACATGTGTAATGTTCTTCCTCATGGATCAGCCCTGTGATTTTGACGTTGAACAGAAATGTCACTCTTAACCTCCAAATGATCAGTTCTCGGTGTAGCACTCAGGTGCGTTCTGAGACTTGTCGCAGTCCATGTCTGTCTTAACCTCCAAATGATCGGTTCTAGGTGTAGCACTCAGGTGCGCTCTGAGACTTGTCGGAGTCCATGGTGCAGTGCCAGTCTGATTCGCTGTGCGATGAAGCGGTAAACACGTCACATGAGGAGAAAGAGGAGCAGTGAAAATAAGAAGCGAAGCAAAGCGGAGGAAGGGCAGGAGAATGAGAAGAACAGGGGAGGGGAAAGCCCACCCTGAAGACCAAAGATTGTGCTGGATTGAGGGTTGGGGTCTTTGGGTTGGGTGCTTGGATGAGGGTGGCGATGGTGGTTGTGTGGGGAGGTGGGTGTTTAGATGAGGGAGATCTTCTCTCGCAAATGGATAAAGGGGAGGATTGCAGGCATGCTGAGTTGCGGGTTGGTCTTGGGGTTTAATTGTAGCATTTATGGAGGCATCGCATTTGAATAAGAGGTAGAGGGTTTGCATGAGAGGATTTCGGGGTACGTTTGTCTCTCTCCCTAATGGATGTAAGGATGGATTGGGGGGAATCATTCGAGGATCGACGACATGCCGAATGAAGGGTTTGTTCTTAGGGTTGTGGCATTTGTGAAGGCATGATGTTGGTACGTCTGACATAAGGCTTTGGATTAGGGAATTTTTTCGAATACAGTTGTCTCTCTCCCAAGCGGATGTCTCTCTCTCCCAAATGGATCTCTCTCTCTCTCTCTCCCAAATGGATCTCTCTCTCTCTCTCTCTCTCTCTCTCTCTCTCTCCCAAATGGATGTCTCTCTCTCTCTCCCAAATGGATGTATTGAAGGACAGGAAAGGAGTGGAAGACGGAAGACGTGGGTGACAGGGAGAAGAGAATATCCCCTCCTTTGGCACCTGTAAAACGTCAAACGAAAATTGAAAATTGCCCCTCTTTTTTTCAGGATGCACATTCCATTCACACCTGCTTGCTGCGGGAAGAACTGCTCATTCGAAACTGTTTTCCGAACTTGTCTTTTTGTGTTTGTCTTTTGTCTCTTTGTGACTTGCAGATATATTATTAGACTGTGACAACAAGTGTGGATGGAGTAGCTGGGAGTCACAAAAACAAACTGAAAAAGACGAGCAAGACTTGCATGTCACGAAAAGACAAGTTCGGAAGACAGTGACAACGAGGGTGTGTTTGCGACTTGCAGATGGGGTAACTGTGACAGCAAGGGTGGATGGAGTAGTTCGGAGAAAACTCTTCTTCGTTCCGTTCCTTGTACCGTCCTCTGTGGCTGGGACGGACCAGACTTGCATCCTCTTTCAGGGTCTTTCATGTTTCTTTAAGTGTGTGACAGTGCGAAGCTATACCTTGGCTCCGAAGATGGACCTCTTCAGCTGTCTTCCTGATGGTGTTTTGCTAATGATTATTGGCTGTATTGCTGAATCTGATTTGAAGGCTTTCATTCACCTTGGAACGGTCTGCAAGCGATTTCACAGACTCATGTGGCAGGTAATTAGAACCCTAAACCCTCAACTGCGACCTTTTTAGACAAAGGAAAGGAGTACTATTTGTTGCTTTGGGCGTTTACGGGGGAAGCCATCCCATCCGGGAAAAAGTGTTTTCAGTTTCTGGATCGTAAACTTTTTGGCAGGAGGGTTCCGATTGTGCTGCCCCCAATTACTGTGTGCTGTTCCAATTTTTGTTTCCACCTCAGCCTCCGACCCTCGTCGATTGCTGTGCCGTCCAGAAGCAAGGAGTGAGAGGACTCCGCTGATCTCTTTCTGAGGAGCTTCAGCGGAGATCCCCTCCACCCTTTAATCTTGGCCCCGTTTGCACTTGAGCTTAGCTTCCACCAGGCTTGAAAATTGAGGGACTGGACCCGCCTGCACCTGCTGGTCGCCGCCCTACCTACCGTTTTCTGCGGCCCTTGCTCTCTGGGAATCCTACTTTAGGTTGTCGGGGGTAGTGGTGGTTTAATCTTCCCCCCGTTTGCACTTGAGCTCTGCTTCCACCAGGTCTTTTTTTTCAGTTGTTGCTGCCATCCTGCGTCCTTGGCTTGTTCTTGACCCTCTGTCGTCCCTGGCCACCGCCTTTTCCAGATTGTCCAAGGAGTGCCCTTCCTCAATCATCGAATGTCCTTGTCCTTTTCTTGTCCCTCTATTGGCCCCGAGGACCCTTTTTTCCCAGATTGTCCGTAGAGTGGCCTTCCTCTCCATCAAGTACCAGATTCTTTGCTGACCCTTGTAAGAAGAGAGGGATTTTGGAACGATACAGAGGTAAGGAAGATTAGCATGGCCCCTGCGCAAGGACGACATGCATAAATCGAGAAAGAGTAAAAAAAAAGAAAGGAATTCTGATGTCTCGTAGTGTTGTCRGTTCGGATGTGTTGGKGGGGGGGGGGGGGGGGGGGGGGGGGGATGGTTAAGAAAGAGGACCCTAGGAAGCTCTGTTCCAGAACTGTGGTTAAGAGAACCCCAGAGATGTGGTTAAGAAAGAGTACCACAGTTAAGAAGCTCTGTTCCAGAACCAGATCGCCGACGACCATTTGATTAAGCCACCAGTACTTGGCCCATACATCGGCCGGGGGGGGGAAAATAGAGTGGAAACGTTTCTAACTTTCTAGCCGGATGAATTTGGGCGCTCCCCAAGTGGCCCGTTCGTTCATCATGGTGGTGGCTTGTTTACCGCCACTGCGACTCTAGGAAGTGCTGGTGGTTTAAGTAGTGCGTTATGTCCTCCTCTACCCCGAGTGGGCATATATTGCATACCTGGGAATTGTCCGGGTCTGAGGTCTGCGGCCAGTTTTCCAAGTTCGTCGATCCATTGGTTGGGGGGTTGAGCGGGGGTGCCACATAGGCCATCAGCCATTACCGACGCTGCGGATTTTGGCTGGTTTAATGAATTTTAAGTTTGAATCCTTTTGTACATTTTCCCCGGAATCATTGTTTGCTCGGCATGGTTGAGTCGAGGGGAACTTTTGTCCATCTTTCTGGATTTCTAGAGCAGGGGGTCTTTTTTTTTTTTAAGACCTTGTTCGCATCCAAACTTGCCCGTGTGCTCAGCAGCGGCGTCTTTCGATGTAGACGGAGGGGAAGCACGGACTCTCTGTTCTATTTTTGGACTTGCTAGTGGATTGGGGCCCAGGAGCCAGGACCACAAGGACCTGGTCATTACGTGGATGGAGGCGAGAAGAGGGCTTTCAGTGTCACTGGACTTCGGTGCTTCGCTCTTTGCTTATTTGATGTATCTCGTCTCGTGGTGCAGTCTGGTTTCAGTGCATGCAGAAGTTAGCTAGATTACTATGGAGTGCTGCAATTTGGTTTCTTTTTTTTTTCTTCTTTTTTTTTTTTTTTTTTTTTGAAACAGGTCCTTTTGGTCCTGGCTCCATATCCATTCTGGGGAGCGTCAGTCCGGTTCCTATTCCCCCGGCAAGTCAAAAACGGATTACGTCATATTACCCACTCAACGCTTCCTTCCGTCTGGCCGAAGGACCCCTGATCAGTATTGATTGCTCCTTCGAAGGAGGATTGACTGTCAGCTCGCCCTGACCATTTGTTCCTCTCAGGCTTCTATTTAGAGCCTGTCGAATGAGTCCCTGTAATACGGGAACAATGGGGGGGTCAACTCTGTGTTCTGTTGCTTGTCCTTGTCCTTCCCTGTGTGTCCGGTCCTCTTTTTGTTGATCACCATTCAGAACCTTCTGCCAGGTCACCCGGCATGTACCCTCGTGGTCTTCATGATTCTGCCTGGTGCCATTTCTTGCACCTCAGCCTATTGTCTACTATCGTTGCCACCTTGCCCTTTATCAACCAGTTCCTTATGAAAGTCCGTTTCTTGGTTGCTTGTCCTTCTGGTCTGTGTCTCGTAGAGTTTGCTATTCTCCGCCATCTGCTCCTGATTTCCGTCTCTGCCATGCTCAGGAGTAGTGACCACATTTCGTTTCTTGCCACCTCTGTTCCCTCGATTGTCTGAGTGCATCTGCGTTTCCATATCACCCACAGTGCCAGCTTCCTGAGTAGGGTGAACCATGCTTCCCTGCTGCCTGTGATGTTGCTGGGGATGTTAGTTAGAAGTAGGATAGAGATAGGGGGGATGTTAGGGGGGGGATGGGCAGCGAACAGGGTTGACCATAGGTCGTGGATCTTCTTCCATATCCAGGTTGCTTCAGGGCAGAAGAAGGGGCAGTGGGGGATGTCTTCGGGTGAGTCGTTGCTGCACATTGAGCAGCATGCCGAGCTATCAGGATCAGAATGTTTCCTTCTCTCGTGTAACCATTGGTTGACTGGCAAGGCTGCATGTGCTATTAGCCATTGCATACTTTGGATTCTAATTGGTCTGATGAGAAGGTATGGTCCATGTGATGGTGATGGGGGTTGTGGTATCTAGGTTCAGTATGGTTCTCCATTTCTCTACCAGCCTTGGGTTCGGGTCCCTGGTTTGTAGTCCGAGGTTATACCCGAACTTTACGTCGTATTCTGTTATCCTTCTCGATTTACCGGCGGCGCCCAGATCCCAGATCCATTCCTTTGGGTCGAATTCCAACTCGTTGATGCTGAGTTCCGGCTGGAATATAAACCAGGGTATCTTGTGAGAGACTCTTAACCTTCCTGAGAAGTGGAGGTGTGCTGGAATCTCAATGCTGTAGGACGGTCCATCCTCTCCGCCCTTGACTTCTAGTACCGGCCACGGTCCTCTATATGCATGCAGTAACTTCTGCGAGATGTTTTCTTCCGGTGCAAACTCTTTTGCTTTGACCCAGACTAAGTCGCCTACTTGAAACTGCGATGGGCGTCGGTGCTTGTTAGCCTGTTCTATCATTCTGTGCTGGGCCATCCGAAGGTTCTCAACAACAATGGCTAACTCCTTTTCGTGCTGTATCGCAAACTCCCTGGTACCGGGCGGTAATTTGTGAATCTGATCCCGGTTCAGTCCTTCGAACGGTCTGCGCGGTCTAAAGGACTTGTGCAACTCATTGGGAGTGCGGCAGGTGGATAGATGCACGCTGTTGTTGTATGCACTAGCTACCGTAGGCAACATCTCATCCCAATTAATCTGATCTGGTCTAATGTACATGCGCAGAACTTGCTGTAGGATCTTGTTCATCTGTTCTGTCTGACCGTTCGTCTCTGGGTGACGGCCGGACGACATTAACAACTTAGATCCGTAGACTCTCATGAGTTCTTGCCAGTTTTGGCTGGTGAAACGACTGTCTCTATCACTAACTATCGACACTGGGATTCCATTCTCACTAACCCAAAAGTCAAAAAACTAATGTATAACTAAGTCCGTACGTGCCTCTGCAGGCAAAGGGACGAAAACTGCATATTTACTAAAACGGTCAACTACGACCATGACTTGGCTCTTACCATGTCTACTCTTGACTTGGGTGTCCATGAAGTCTATGGACACGGAGTCTCCCGACTGATCCGGAATAGGCAAGGGTCTGAGAAGACCTAGGGGCGCGCGTGTAGTAGACTTATTCCTCTGGCACACTTTACAACTGCGGACGTACTCTATGCAGTCATTCTTCATCCCTGGCCAGGTATACGCACGCATCAGGTTGGCTAATGTCTTTTGCCAACCGAAATGCCCTTCAGTATCGTGGCATTCCCCTAAAATCAGACTGCGGATCTCTTCGCTGTTGGGAATGCACAGGCGGTCAAACACATTAGTCTTCTCAAACAGCAACCCGTCTGTAGTGCGGTAGTCTTGTTCAGTCTCTGGGGCCTCTCTAACTCTCTTTAGGAGGTTGCTATAGATTGGGTCCTGCGCATATGCTTGCTTCACTTTCTCCTGCAGGTCTCTCCCTATATCCAGGTAGTGTACTACGGCTCCAAAGTAGTCTGATGTCCTACTCAGAGCATCCGCAACTACGTTGTATTTGCCCTTTACTGGCTTGAGCTCAAAGTCGAATTGGTCTATCTCTGCGGCCCACCTAGTCAACTTAGGTGTCATCTTGGCCTGTGTCTTTAGCCAACGAAGTGTCTCATGGTCAGAATACACTTTGAAGTGCCTCCCAAGCAGATAGTGCTTCCAATGGTCTAAAGCCTGCCTGAGAGCGTAGAGTTCTCTCTCGTACGTGGAGGCAGCAACCTTCTCACAGGGCATCCTCGCTGACATGAACTCTATGGGTCTATAGCCATTGCCGTCGTCTTGCTGCAATACGACGCCTATCCCATACTGACTTGCGTCCGTGGTAACGACAAATGGCAAGGATGGATCTGCTACTTTGAGGACGGGATATTCTATTAATGCGCGCTTTAACTTCTTGAGCGCAGACGTACAGTCTTTGTCCCATTGCCAGATTGCCTCTTTCTTTAGCAGTCTGCGCAAGGGGGCGGCGATAGTGGAGAAGTTCCTCATGAACTTCCTATAGTAGTTAGCTAAGCCTAGGAACGACCGCAACTCTGTTAATGTGCGGGGCGTCGGCCAATCTCTAATCGCCGCGATCTTGCTGTCCTCTGGCTTAATGCCATCTCCGTCCAACACATGGCCCAAGTACAAGACTT